TTTTAAAGTAAAGCTTTAAAAGTGACTACATAGGTTAGTAAACGTACAAATTTTATCGTAAATAAATAATAATAACTAGTGGTGCTTTAAGGCATCTTGCTTTAAGGCAAATTGCTGGAACTTCCCGTACCGTAATGAAATTTTCGAGCAATTTTAAACGTTTTCAAATATATTATTACAACAAATCCTTTAACTTTTATTATTTTTGCTATCTTATTATTATATCTGAGCAAATCAAATGTAAATCATAAATAAATCAATTTATCTATACAACATTAACAATCGTCATTTCATTTCGAATTCAATTTCCAAAAAATAGTTGCCTAATTTGCACAAAATTGAAAAAGTGTGCTCCCGTATAGTCACAGTCTAAACGCATTTGCAAATAATTCTGTGCGACATTTTCACTTATACTGTGCTTAGCTTGGCGGCATTTTCACGTTTTTCAATAGTTTCGTTTTCACAAAATTGGAAAAGTGCTCCACATATAAACAGTCTAAACGCACTTGGGTAAACATTTGTACCAGAGTGGCGCTTAGACTGTGCTTAGCCTGGGTGATTTTTTGCATTTTTAATACAAAATTACAAAAATATTTTTGAAAAAAAAAATTAGAAACAATTTTTTTTTCCAAAAGCAATTATTTTGTAAAAACAAGCAAAAAGTTTTTTGAATCATTCAAATCGGACGCTTAGTTCTCCCAAAAACTGCCATTTTTTAACATTTAGCTCTGTATCTCCGAAACCGCTGGGCCTACCTTTGCCAAAAACTAATATCTACTTTTCCCCGTCATTACGAACTGAATGTTTTTTGGATCATACAAATCGGATGATCCGTTCTCTCAAAAACTCGATTTGTATTTTCTGCACTCTTTGTTCCGTATCTCCGTAACGGCTGGACCTGCCTTTGCCAACAAATAACCCTACGGGAAGTTAAAAAAAACTATTTTTTTAAGTAAAACTTTTTGGGTAAATAAATCAGTGAAATTATTTTTGAAGTAAAACTTCTTGGGTAAATAAATAATAATAAGTAAAATGTAAATTTACTTTTGAAGTAAAACTTCTTAGGTTACCAAAAGAACGAGTTTTATAGTAAATAAAATATAGTGCAAAAATTATTTTTTTTTTAAGTAAAACTTCTTAGGTAAATAATGAGTAATTTGACATTTTATTTCTGAAGTAAAACTTCTTAGGTTAGCAAATGTGCGAATTTTATGATAATTAATAATAAAAAAAAAATTTGAAGAAAACTTCTAAGGTAAATAAATAAGCAACATTATTTTTTAAGTAAAACATCTTAAGTTAAAATGTACAAATATTATCATAAATAAATGATAATAAAATTTGTTTTCCAAGTAAAACTTCTTAGGTAAAAATAAGTGAAATTATTTTTGAAGTAAAATTTCTTTAGGTTATCAAATGTACGAATTTTATCGTAAATAAATAAGTAAAATAAAATTAAAGTTTTGAAGTAAAACTTCTTAGGTTTGCCACATTCAAATTTTAGTAAAATAAAATTTAATTTTGAAGTAGAACTTCTTAGGTTAGCGATGTATAAATGAGTAAAATGGAATTTTATTTTTGAAGTAAAACTTCTGAGAGTCAGTATATAGTGAGAAAATGAGAGAGAGATATAAGGCATTAGTGCGAAAAAGAGCAACATATACCTGACAGTGTAGAGTGACAGAGTAAGATATATGTGTACGATGTAACCTCCAAAATTTAGCAACTACCTGTTTCATTGCCAATTTTTGAAAAAAGGACAAGAGATACCAATTTTTGTTGTTGATAAAAGTTGTAGATAATTTAATTGGCTATAAATTTGCTGAATATTGCAAAATGGTGGGACATTTCGTTTTGAAGTTATAAATAAATAAATAAAAATCGAGCCGGTTCAAAAGTATGAAGCAAGATACATGTATATTAGTGTTACCACCAAAATTAACAACCTGTTTCATTGCAAATTTTGGGTAAAAGAATAAGAGATACAAAATTTTGTTATTAACAAAAGCTGTAGATAATTTAATTGGCTATAAATTTGCTGCATATTGTAAAACAATCAGACAATTAGTTTAGAAGTTATAAACAAATAAATAAAAATCGAGCTGGTCCAAAAGTATGAAGCAAGATATACTGCTGCAATCCCCAAAATTTAACAACAATCTTTTTAAGTGCAAATTTTGGGTAAAAGGATAAGAGATATAAAATTTTGTTATTAACAAAAGTTGTAGATAATTTAATAAGCTATAAATTTGCTAAATATTGCAAAACACTCGGACAATTAGTTTAAGAGTTATAAATAAACAAATAAAAGAAATTATGAATACAGATATCGAAAATCAACAAGAAGGACGGTTAATTTTACGCGGTGAGGAAAAGAGAGGCAAATATACATTTATATTAGACAAAAAGAGAGCCATATATATATATATATATATATATATATATATATAAAAATATGCGTCAAATATTCGATAAGATCTGCGCGTAAATAATTTTTATTTATTTATACTAATAAAATTTATTTACAAGACACGTGTTTGATAATTAGTTAATAACAATAAATAGTTTAAATCATTTTGGCATTCCTCTGAGAGATCTTTGTGAAGTAACAATGTGCTAGATAATTTAAAAGTGATTATTATAAATTATAAAAAAAATTAAAATTAAGTATTATAATGCCACTTGTACCTAGTTACAATAATTATTATTAACGTTCACTTTTTTTTACATCTCTACAAAGTCGCCTTGAGTTCGAATTTCTCGAAGAGAATGTCGACATAAATTTCGACATAATTTTAATTTCGTAACAAAACGTACGCAGATCGAATTAAAATCATTAATGAATCAGTGTTGAAAATAAATAAATGTTGAATAGATGTAAATAATAAATAAATAAAGAAAAATGATAAAAAAATAACTTATTTTAGTTAGTGATGCACATTTCTTTAGTTTAGTGATGCACATTTCTTTAAACAAAAAAGTTTGTTTATTAAATAATTAATAGTGCTTAAAATGTTTTTATCAGTTTATATTATTAAAAAAATTATCAAATATTAATAATTCTATTGGTTTAATTCAAAAGTTAATAATGATTTATTTTCATAAGTTATTATTATTATAATTGAACTGTATAAATAAAGTGTTTATTATTAATTTATTTAAATAAATTAATAATGGTTTCTACTTCCAAGCAATACTATGCAGCATTTGTTGGTAAGTATTTTTTTAATTTTTATATATAATATACTTGATTTTTATATAATGATTGTAAAAAATTCTATATTGAGGAGAGTTTACAATATATATCTAAGAGAACATAATTATAATTCAAAAAATAAAAATCAATACAAAACAATGCTTTCAGACCATATGCAAAATTTTAGACACACTTTTGATTTAAACAATCCCGTTATTTTATATATTGAACAAAATGTTGTCTTAAGAAGGTTTGCTGAATCTGTTTTTATTTTTTTAAATTCACAATGTGTAAATAAAAGAAGTTTTTCTTTTTTGCTTTTTGATAGGTATCAAAATTTAATTAATGTATGTAAGTCTGTTTTTTTAATATTTGAACAAGTTTTTTACCACTTGATATTTTATTTTCTTCTTCTTTTACATAATTCGAAAAATTTCGTTTACTCGATTTTGTTTTTTTAAAATTCTATATATATATAAATATTTTTTTGTTTTTAAAACAAAATATTGATATTATAATTGTCAATATTTATATAAAATAATTTTAAATTAGTTTGGTACGTATAATTTTAAATCTGTTTAATTTTATTTTGTTAATTTATTTTATTACACTTGTATTTTAGCTGAATGATGAGCTAGCACAATAGCTCGAAACGTATTAAAGAAGATTTATATTTACGTTCTGTTTTTATTTTTTTGGCTTGTGGCTGAAAAACCTTATCACAATAGATTAGATAAGATAAGATAAGATATTTTAATATAGTTTCATCAATACAATTTGCCAATAGGCTATCAATCCCATTAAATTTGTTTATAAATTAAAAATACTATTAATTTTGAATTTATAATGAACTAAAATTGAGTGAGACCGCTATTGATCAATTGAAGTACTAAAACTTATTCAGAACTCAAACCACTCAACCCACAAATACTATGGTGATAGTTGAGATGATATTAAAAATAAGAATGTACGATGATGTCTTTTAAATTTCTAGTTATTTGAGAGCATATTAAAGATAGAAGTGTACGATGATATCTTTCAAATATCTAATTATTTTTTCCAGCCAACATCGCCACAATCTGCTACGGCACCACAATAGGCTGGTCAAGTCCAGCCCTGTCAGCCCTTTCGACATCGAACCCTTCACCAGGAAAAGACATACTCTTCCAATTGACCGACGAAGAGGCCTCCTGGATAGGCGGTTTGATTTGCATAGGAGCCCTTTTTGGAGGCCCTTTGTACGCCTGGTTGGCAGGAGTCAGGGGCAGAAAATTTGCAGGATGTTGTCTTGTTTTACCATATGCGGTAAATAATAAGGTCGATGATACATAATGATCGAGAATGATTGTTTCTGGTTTGTTGTAGATCAGTTGGTTTTGCATAATTTTTGCAAAGTCTGCATGGTGGATGTTTGCAGGACGTACTTTTGCAGGAATTGCTGGCGGAGGTATTATTGTTTTGGTGCCTATGTATGTTTCGGAGATCGCTGATGATAAGTGAGTAAATAAAAATTTAGTTTAAGTCACTTAGTAAAAGAAAACCAAAATTGTCTTGGTTTAGAATTCTACAATTGTCAGGGCCGGTCCTGCCTTGCATGCGAAGCATGCAAAAAATGCGGGCGCACGCCTTAAGGGGTGCCAAAACGAGTTTCGAAAATTAAATTTATAATATAATATTTATATTTTTTATTATTTATATAAAATCTAGAATACTTGATATATTATAATAAACAATCTAACTTAACTAGGGATACGGAGACACAAAAAGCATATTTATTTTGCAATGTGATATCAGTAGAAACAATAAACCGATTAATAATTCTTCAAATTAGTAATAAACAGCTCTGTTTATTGATTATTCTACTTATTCAATTTTTTCTTTGTTTAAAGTTACCGTGGAATCGAAAAAGAAATTATCTAACGTTCAATCCCATAAGCGCAAACTTGCGAGAGATTAAATTAATTGTTGGGCATTATTGACGAAAAATTGCGAGCTGATTTAGTTGAATCGGAACTTGTTAAAAAATATAAACAAATTATAAAATATGGGAAGTCAGTACTTAGAACATTACTTGTTTTTTCCGAAAAATTTAATTGTAACTTTTGCTTTTGTTGCAAATGTTTCGCATCTGTTGAATTTTGAATGTTGAAGATATGCGTGGAACAAATATGAAAAATGGACTTTGGAACGAAAATTTTAAGGCTTGTTTTATATCCAGAGATGTCCATACTTTAAATTTAATAATTATTAACTATACAGAAATCAAAAATATCAAATATAAGAAGTTTTTTCCAATATTTGGAAGTTAGTTATTTCTTTGCAGTTTTTTGCTGATTTTTGAACAATACTTCTAAAATACGTTAGAAATTTAACTTTAAAATAACTTGCGTTATCAATAAAGAAAGTTTACGACGCAATTTTGTACATTGTAAATGATGAACATGAAATACAAGTGTTATGTGTGAAAATAAAATGCTATTTTTTTTTAAATATTAATATTGCACATACGTTAAAAATAATTGAAAATATCAAAATATTTGATTATAATCAACCCCCAAATCGCCTCGATTTTCTAAATAAATTTAAAATAATATATTTTATACGTTTTTAGATCATATCTAAGTTTTTGTGCACTAAATCCAGAATAATTAAAAATTTATTTATTTATTTCACTTAATATCAAGATCTTTATATCAAAATCATAAATACTATTTCTGAAATGCATTTCTTAAATTCTATAACTTTAATCTAACATAAATATTAATTCTTTTGCTATGGTAGTCGAATTTACATCCTTACACGTTGAATATTACTAAAATGTGAAATTATGACAGGAATTGTTTTATTAATTGATATCGATAATAATAAATAAATTCAAAATCTATATATTTTATACGCTTCTAGATTATATCTAATTTTTTGTGTACTAAATCCAGAATAATTAAAAACTAATTTTTAAAAAATATGTAAATATTTATAAAATTTTAATGATAAACTGTTAAAATTAATAGGAAGGGGCACTAGAAAAAAAGTTGCATGCGGGCGCTAAGGACCCCAGGACCGGCCCTGACAATTGTTATGTCCAAATCATTTTTGTATTAATCAAAAACTTGTTTGTAGAACATCAGAACAGTCTTTTTGCCTCAGTTTTTAAAATGAGAACCAAAAATTGATTAAGATTGAAATGATTTTAGTCCATAATTAGACGAAGTCTGCAAAAAGTTTTGCCAAATGTTACAAAAGTTACAATCCTCTTGCATAATTATTTTTTCCCTTAGCATTCGTGGTGCCCTAGGTTCCTGGTTGGTTCTACTCATAAACGTCGGTCTCCTAATAGGGTACCTTTTAGGTGCCTGTGTCACATACTTTTGGCTCAACATTATATTGTCTTTGGGGCCGATTTTGTTCCTGATACTCTTCCTGGTGGTTCCTGAAACTCCAGTCTGGCTGGTCAGATCTGGACGTGTTGAAGAAGCCAGAAGAGCTATTTGTTGGTTGAAGGGGTTGGAACCGGAAAAATGGTAAGGAAATGACCTAATTTGAGATTTAAAAGAGTAGTGGAATTAGAAGGATACCAAACAGATACCAAGGTAGCATTTAGAGTTTGACGATTTCTAGTAAATTTCTTAATTAGATCATCATTTAGTTCATTTGGCAACACCAAGTTTTTGACTAAATCTATAAGTTGTATTTATGGACTTGATGAAACAATTACACCAACAAATAGGTTGTTTTTTAAATCAACTTATTGCAAAAACTAGTGGTTTATGGCATCGTACCTTGAAGCAAATTGCTGGAACTTTTCGTACCGTAATGAAATATTCGAGAAATTTAGACCGTTTTTAAAATACATATTATTACAAATAGTGTAATTTTCATTATTTTTGCTATCTTGTTGTATCTGAGCAATTCAAATGAAACATTAACAATCGTCATTTCATTTCGAATTTAATTTAAAAAAAAATAGTTACCTAATTTACACAAAAATGAGAAACTGCTCCCGTATAGTCACAGTCTAAACGCATTTGCAAATAATACTGTGCGACATTTTCACTTATACTGTGCTTAGCTTGACGGCATTTTCACATTTTTCAATAGCTTTGTTTTCACAAAATTGGAAAAGTGCTCCAGTACCTAAACAGTCTAAACGCACTTGGATAAACATTTGTACCAGAGTGGCGCTTAGCCTGGGTCATTTTTTAAATTTTTTGAATTTTTAATCCAAAATTACAAATATATATATTTTTATTTGCTTGTCAGTAGAGTCCCCTTTTCTTACAAATTTTTATTTGCTTGTCAGTAGAGTCCCTTTGGTCCTAATATTTCCATTTGCTCGTCAGTAGAGTCCCTTTTTTCTCTTTGTATTTTTATTTGCTCGTCAGTAGAGTCCTTTTTTCTAATATTATCATAATGCTTGTCAGTAGAATTTATTTCTCTTACAATATTTTCAATTTGCTCGTCAGTAGAGTCTCTTTTTCTTTCAAAATGTTTTAAGCAAAATTTTGCTTGTCAGTAGAGTCCTTTTTCCTAATATTTTTATTTGCTCGTCAGTAGAGTTCTTTTCCAAATAAATACAAATTGAATGTTTTTTGGATCATACAAATCGGATGATCCGTTCTCTCAAAAACTAGATTTCTATTTTCTGCACTCTTTGCTCCGTATCTCCGTAACGGCTGGGTCTGCCTTTGCTAAAAACTAATCAGCACATCTCCCTATCGATACGGATCGAATGTTTTTTAAACAATACAAATCGGTTGATCCGTGCGCCCGAAAACGTGGACGAAAAAATGCGGACATACAAAACATACACACACATACACATCCATTTAGTTTCTGAGGTATGCCCCTTAAAAATGTTCAGAAACCTTCAAAACGTCGAAGAATGCTAAAACTTTCATTTTCGATTTTCAGCACATTACTGTAACTACCCTACGGGAAGTTAATAGCCAAAAAAATGACAAAAACAACATATAGAAACTTGTTTGGTAATTTGGTCGAAAGATTTTCCACTGGCTAATAAGTTGTGCCAACTATGAACTACTTTTTCAGTTATTTATCATTCTAGTCTAATTTTCTTTATCTTGTCTAATTCTTTTTATTAGCGAAAATGAACTTATCATCCGACAAGAATTGGACAAACTCAAACCTAAATTTGAGGAGCAAGAAAAAACAGCATCTTTCAAAGAATTAGGTAAGATCGCCAAAATATTTTCCTAATTTATTGCAAAAACCTTGATATGTCTTTACTGGTCTCTGGCAACTGATTCTGGTATCAAGGTGTAAAATTTCATCACCTTACCATTTTAAAAAAATTCTTAGAAACTTGATTGATACTCAATTCAACTTCTTATAACAATTATGATAAACAAAATCTAAAACTTTTATCAGTATCATTTATCTTTTCCAGTGACTTCAAAATGTTCCCGCCGCGGCCTAACAATCGGCCTAATCCTAATATTCTTTCAACAATCCAGCGGCCTTTTCGCAGTCCTCAGCTACGCATCCTTAATTTTAGAACAAGCAGGAATTACTAATCTAACCCCAAATCAGGCCGCAGTTATTTTAGGAGCCATACAAGTCTTCGGCGGCCTCTTGTCTTCCGTGCTTGTTGAACGAGCTGGACGAAAAGTAAGAGATATAAACGTTGGAGTTCCTCAAAGTAGCATATTAAGACCGTTTCATCTGCAGGTTTTGATTTGCGTGTCGAGTTCCTTTGTTGGGATCTGTCTGGCAGCTTTGGGAACCCATGCTGGATTGAGGGAAAAGGGTTATGACGTCACGGGTTGGTCCTGGGTTCCTGTGACGTCACTGTGTGGTGCTGTACTGTTTGCAGGATTCGGGATTGGGAACTTGCCGTTTGTTGTGATTAGCGAGATTTTTGAAAATAAGGTAATAAAAGAATACAAATTAAAGAGTAGAGACCTATTCTCGGATGACACAGAGATGTTGTATTATTGTGTCACAGATAAGATAGCGTAAAAGATTTGTTATTCACGGTGCACCTATTTTTTATATAGATAAATGGCTGTTATAATAAATGTTACACTTATAAAAACATAAAATTATTACAATATAATCATTTTTTAGTGAAAATCGTTTTCTACTCATCAAGACCTTTTAAACGATACCCCACATGTCATAAAACGTACAATCGGAAATTTTTGAAGTAAAACTTCTTTAGACTCCTCTGGGACAAATTCGTAAAAAGTGTATATTTTGTGGATAACTCACATAGTTAATTTTAGTGTAAGTTATAAAAGTTTTACTCCACGTATATTCAAAAAAAATTTAATAAACTTCTGAATTCTAAGATTTTAAGCAATGAAATATGGTTATGCATATGATTTTCTTACAATATAATCATTTTTTTGTGAAAATCGTTTTCCACTCGTCGAGACCTTTTAAACGATACCCAACATGCCATAAAACGTACAATCGGAAATTTTTGAAGTAAAACTTCTTTAGACTCGTTTGCAACAAATTTGTAAAAAGCGTTTATTTTGTGGACAAATCACAAAGTTAATTTCGGTATTTAGATTCTATTCAAAAATACCTTTCAAATGATACCCCACATGCCATGAAATGTACAATCTGAAATTTTTGAAGTAAAACTTCTTTAGACTCTTCTGCAACAAATTCGTAAAATGTGTATATTTTGTGATAAACTGTAAGCGTAAATTTCAGTATTGGGCTACTAATCAAAAAGACCTTTCAAACGATATCCTACATGCTATAAAAGATGCAATCTACATGTTATTGAAGTAAAACTTCTTTAAGCTCGTTTACTTAATTAATAAAAAGCGTATATTTTGTGATAAATCACAAAGTTAATTTTGGTATATAGATTCTATTCAAAAAGACCTTTCGAACGATACCCAACATGCCATAAAAATACAATCTACATGCTATTGAAGTAAAACTTCTTTAAGCTCGTTTACTACAAATTCATAAAAAGCGTATATTTTATGGACAAATCACAAAGTTAATTTCGGTATTTAGATTCTATTCAAAAAGACCTTTCAAACGATACCCCACAAGCCATAAAACAAACAATCTAATTTTTTTGAAGTAAAACTTTTTTAAGCTCGCTTAGTACAAATAAAAAGATAATTATGTTGACGTAAATAGCATGGCATATGGATGGAATAACAAAAGAATAATGCATATTGTGTAAGAGTGACATATAAAGATGAATATTGTAGAGAGTGTCATTAGAGACAATAAACGAGTGATTAGAATAGAAACGAATGAATTTAACATAAATATAGTTTATATAGTTAACCATAGTTTATAATTTCAGACAAAAGGCAAAGCAATGACAATCTGCAACGTGTGTTTGTGGATTTTTGCATTTATCGTAGTCAAGGTAATAAAATAATATTTTTGCTAAATTAAAATGTTTTATAAAAATTTTAGTGACACATAATTAATGGAAATAATTACTTAAAGTAAATACTTAATTACTAAAAACTTCGGTACACTATTTTGGCATAAAACTACAAAATAACATTGCGAATATTTATACTGTCAAAAGCAAATTCTATAGAATAAAGTTTAATTAATCTTAAACAAAACTCTTGGTAGTAAAAATAAACATTGGTGTTCCTCAAGGTAGAATCTTTAGAACTAAAAATATTAACTTAAGAATAATTATAATTAAAAATTAGTTAAGTAAGTATCTAGAATTTTGAGTTAATATTTTTTGATAACCTAAAATATTTTATAAAAATTTTAGTGACACATAATTAATAGAAATAATTAATTACTAAAAATTTCTGTACACTATTTTAACATTACAAAATAACATTGCGAATATTTATACTCTCAAGAGCGAATTCTAAACATGTTTAATTCATCTTAAACAAAACTCTTGGTAGTAAAATTAAACATTGGTGTTCCTCAAGGTAGAATCGTTAGAACTAAAAATATTAGTTATAAGAATAATTATAATTAACAATTAGTTAAGTAAGTATCTAGAATTTTTAGTTAATATTTTTTGATAAATTATAATATTTTATAAAAATTTTAGTGACGCATAATTAATAGAAATAATTAATTACTAAAAACTTGTGTACACTATTTTAGCATAAAAGTACAAAATAACTTTGCAAATATTTATACCCTCAACAGAGAATTCTAAACATGTTTAATTAATCTTAAACAAAACTCTTAGTAGTAAAAATAAACATTGGTGTTCCTCAAGGTAGAGTCTTGGGAACTAAAAATATTAATTACAAGAATAAATTTCCAAAAACTTAAATTATTTTTATTTTTTCTAGTTCTACAACTCTATAGTGTCTCTATTATCAATGCCAGGGACTTTTATGTTGTTCGCCGGTTTGATGACAGGGGCCACAATATTTGTGGCCTTTTGCATACCCGAAACCAAGGGCCAACCTTTGGAAGTGATTTTGGCCAAATTGGGAGCCGATAAAAAGGAGACGAAGGAAGATAAAATTAAAAATATATCTATAATACAGGAAAAGTATCAAGAAACATGAGAAATAAATAATAATAAATTAGTGGATAGATTTATATGTTGTAATAGAGGATGTTAAATCCATCGTGCAAATTAAAAAAGTTGTTAAAAGAGAAGGTTATGTTTTGTTTTCTGGACATTTTTTGTCATTCTGTAACGCTTGATCCCTAAAATTACAAATGTTCACAATCTATTGACCAGGATATTCCTCGATTTCGGTAAAAACTTGAAAAAACAGATTGTATTTTTATAAAGTGGAAAAGTGAGAGTCGTTTGCTAGAACTTGCCCTATTGTCAAGTTGCTAAAAAAATTATTGGCTTACTAGAAGACATGGTGTTATCTTATCGTTTATAATAATCAGTGATTTTTTGAAGGTGTCCATTAATTTCAGCAGACACAATTGTTGATTTATAAGTTTGTCAACGGATTTTGCAATTTAATAAATTAATTAAACAAATGCAAAGTTAATTGCAAAATAAAGTCTTATCATTTCGTGGGCGTCAAATCGGTATTTAGTTTTTGATATATGATATATTTATTAGTATGAAGGCTGGTAATTGATTTACTCAAAAACAACAAAAGGCATCATGACCCATTATTCTTATGATATAAATTAAATAAGATTTTAGGTACTAGTTTTATAATTGGACTAAAATTTTCAACTTAAGTAAATTCGATTGTTCTAAAATAATTTCTGTAGAGTTTTGTAATGTATATAAGTAATAAATGAAGGACTAATTTATAAATGATTTTTTTTTGAAAAAATAGTAAGTGCTAAGTTATAAAAATTGCAAATTTATATACATATATATATATATATATATATATATATATATATAAATTTTATGCATACGTAATTTTAAGTAAATATAAAAAATTAAATTTCATTCACAATTAATATTTTTAGACATATCTATTTGTTTAAACAAATAAGGTTTTACACTAATTTACGACGCCTAGACAAAAATTATCTGACATGGCTTGGCAACCTTATATATATATATATATATATATATATATATCCATTTAACTATTAGAAAAAACACCAAACAATATTAGGTTTATGTTTTACTTTCTGCAAACATTTTGAGTATTTATTTCAGTCATTTTCAGTTCAAGTATAAAGTAAAATATATATTCTATTCTGGTGTTTAATACGATTTCTCGCATAATACGTCGGTGTCTGCACTTTCAAACCCATAATACATATAATTAATGAAATAAATAAAGAATTTATCATTATGTTTCATTTTTGATTCCTGTGGACGTTTCTAGTCTTTATTAGACCCATCTTCAGTACGATTATATAAAAATAAATTAAAAAAGGAACCCAATTTTTTTAAATATAAACGAGAAGATATTTCCGTCTGCGGAATTTATAAATTATTGTTTAAACCACAATTTTGTTTGTAATAAATTTATGAATGCTGGGTAAAAACTTTTTGCTTTATTTAACTATATATATATATATATATATATATATATATATATATATTATAAAGGTTCCCAAACTCTGTAATTGAGAAAATGATAGAATTCCAGCTGATCACATAAAGAGCATTGAAAATTCGTTTAGATAAAACAATTTAGCAAAGACACATCCAAAAATTATTCTAATTTTCAAAAAAAAAAACACTTCAAAAATTAAGATAAAGTGTTAAATAAAAATATTAATAAACATAAAAAAAAATATTATTTAAAATGCAATATTTAAACATGTTGGATAAAATAAACAATGTTGTTATATTTAAATATTTATACGACACATAAGTTTTAAATAAATATTTTTTATAAATTATTTTAGTTTAAAAAATTTGCAAAAAAAAAATTATAATAGAATTTTGAGCAAAAAAATGGGTTCTACTATTAAACAATATTATGCAGCTTTTGTAGGTAAGATAAAATATATTATTAATTATTTATAAATATTTTTTCGTGAAAGATTTTATTTAGACCAAATTAACTTAAATTTATTAATTTTTAAAATAATTTTTAGAAGTGTCTACAGTATTAATTAACTTTTAAACCTGATAGTTTTTTTCTTTTAGTAATTTTCAAAATGAAAAAAAACCTTGTCTTTCAGTTATATATTATTTTTTAGTTAATATTCTTGTTAGAATTCATTTTTTAGTTCAGAGTCCATACCTCTTATCCATTTGAAAATTAATAAATATAATTATTAAAATATATTGTTTATTATTTACCATTTTTTAATTAATATTTTTGTTAGAAAAAGAATCAATTTTTCAAACCAAACTTATATATTTCTTTTTATTTCCAATTTGATTTGTTTTCCGGCTCAGAGTCCATATCTCTGATCCATATTTTGAAATAAATAATTGTATCGAGCGATTTGACAAAAAATCAGTTTGCTCGTCAGTAGAGTCCTATTTTCATAAATTTCTTCAAATGGTTCTGGTTGAGAATTAGAGTCCATATCTCTGATCCATATTTTAAAACAAATGTCAGATATTACACCTAGTTTACAAAATAGATTGAAAATTCAGTTCGCCCGTTAGTAGAGTCCAATTTCCCCAAAAGTCCATTAAACAACTTGTGTTTAGATTCCCTATCTCTGATCCATCTTTCACCAGTATATCTATTTCAATCGATTTGATAAAAAAAATAGTTTGCTTGTCAGTAGAGTCCTATTTCTCGAAAAATCGTTCAAATAATTTGAGTCTAGAGTCCATGTTTCTGCTCCTTTTTTAACTAGTATATTGCTTTCGATCAATTTGTTAAAAAAACAGTTTGCTCGTCAGTAGAGTCCTATTTGAGCAAATTTATCTAACAAATTATTGTTGACCATGAGAGTCCGTGTCTCTGATCCACATAAAAAATAAATGTCACGTGTTCTACCTGTTTCACTGAATTTATAAAAAATCATGTTACTCGTCAGTAGAGTTCTATTTCTCCTAAAATCGTTCAAATAATTAGTATTTAGAGTCCATGCCTCCGATCCATTTAATACTAATATATATATATATATATATATATATATATATATATATATATATTTCAATCAATTTGATAAAAAATCCTTTTGCTCGTCAGTAGAGTCCTATTTCTCGCAAAGACCTTTATACGATTTGTGTTTAAGGTCCATGTCTCCGATCCATCTTTAAGTTTGGAATGATTCGTGTAAATATTTCTCAGAGTCCATATCTCAAAAATATAGATATCCATATTTTGAAAGATGCTTTGGTCGTCAGTAGAGTCCCTTTTAAAAAATCTCTCAATCAGTATTAGTCATATTTCAAATAAGTATTAAATTTTGCATTATTTTTACTTGAACTTTCATTTATCTCAATTTTAGTAAGTTAGTGTAAAATCCCATTTTCGCTATACACATAAAACCTAACCTCCAAAAGGCACTAACATTAAATAACGATTTTATTAGAAGTGCAACTCTTTGATAAAACATAGTTTGTTTCTATCAGCTAATACGAATATAAGTCCGTAACATAACGTTATCGTTATTTCTATTTTATCCCAAAAAAGACCCTTCATTTACTAATATCGATTTAACTAAAACCGCATCGATTTTTTGCATTTTTTATATCGTAATTCGTTTACGGCACAAAATCGCCCGTGTGGAAGTTGCTTTATAACCTAAAGCCGGTGACACATGTGACTGTTTTCATATTAAGTTGTTTTCGTGCGCTCTAAGTAAAGTGTGTGATGTTGCGGCGGCTTTAGGTTAAAGCGTGTTTCACACGGGGTAGATAAATGAATAAATAAATATATTAAGTTTGAGAAATATTAAAATAAGGTTAAAATTTATGTTGCAAATAGTAAATAAAATGCAGTTTTTTTTTAATATTTATGCAAATAAAATAAATAAATAATTCTATCATAAAAGAAAACTGGTTTCTTTCAAATTTCTGGATATTCTTCTAGCCAACATCGCCACAATCTGCTACGGCACCACAATAGGCTGGTCAAGTCCAGCCCTGTCAGCCCTTTCGACATCGAACCCTTCACCAGGCAAAGACATCATTTTTCAATTAACAGACGAAGAGGCCTCCTGGATAGGCGGCCTGATTTGCATAGGAGCCCTTTTTGGAGGCCCTTTGTACGCCTGGTTGGCAGGAGTCAGGGGCAGAAAATTTGCTGGATATATGATCGTCGTACCATACATAGTACGTAAAAATAGGATATATGAAATATTATAGACCTATGGATTGTTTGTTTTAATTTTAGATCAGTTGGCTTTGCATCCTGTTTGCAGAATCTGTTCTATGGATGTTTGCAGGACGTGCCTTTTCAGGAATAGCCGGAGGCGGTGTTATAGTTCTAATTCCGATGTACGTTTCGGAAATCGCTGATGACAAGTAAGTCTTTATCCACAAAATCTTTAAGAAATTTTCCTCACAAGACTGGGTTGTCAATCTATCTTTTTCTTCTATAAGACTTTAGTTTTCAGTCTATCTTCCTTTTAGTATTCGGGGTGCCCTAGGATCTCTACTAGTCCTCTGTATCAATTCAGGAATTCTGGTAGGGTATCTCCTGGGTGCTTGTGTGAGTTACTTCTGGTTGAATCTGATTTTGACAACTCTTCCCTTCTTGTTCCTGGTTTTGTTCTTTACTGTGCCGGAGTCTCCGATCTGGTTGGCCAGATCTGGACGCCTGGACGATGCCAGCAGGGCTTTGTGCTGGTTGAAGGGATTGCAACCGAGTAAAAGGTAGGATAGAAATTCAATATTATCCAGACCAGGGCGTAGACGCCCAGAGGTATTTATATTATATTTTTTTACGTTTCGGGGATGGGTTGTCCCCTTCTTCAGGAGCATCTACTACTCTTTTAATACTTATTTTTATATTTCAGTGAAGATGAGCAAACTATTAGTTGTGAATTGGATAAACTCAAACCGAAAGATGATGCCCAGGAAGAAGGTGCTTCGTTTATGGAATTATGTAAGTATCCTTCTCTGGACAAAAGGACTCTACTGACAAGCAACACAATTTGCGATTTGAGAAAAAATTATATATTGCATTGGCAGCTGTATCAATATATTCTTCCGGAAAATCGTTCTCAACGTCGATGATAAAACTAGTGGTGTTATGGCATCGTGCCTTAAGGCAAATTGCTGGAACTTCCCGTACCGTAATGAAATATTCGAGAAATTTTAAACGTTTTCAAATATATCATTATAAATACTGTAACTTTCATTATTTTTAAATAAATAAATTTATCTCCAGAACATGAACAAACGTCATTACATTTCGAATCAAATTTCAAAAAAAAATAGTTGCCAAATTTACACAAAGTTGAAAAAGTGCTCCCGCATAGTCACAGTCTAAACGCATTTGCAAATAATTCTGTGCGACATTTTCACTTAGACTGTGCTTAGCTTGGCGGCATTTTCACATTTTTCTCACAAAATTGGAGAATTGCTCCAGTACATAAACAGTCTAAACGCACTTGGGTAAACATTTGTACCGGAGTGGCGCTTAGACTGTGCTCAGCCTGGGTATGTATTTTTATTCTAATAAATGTCAACAGAAATTACGAGAAAAAGAAGTCTACTGACGAGCAATTACAAATTAATAATATCATAAAAAATTTACTACTTTTTTAGAATAAAACTGTACTAGATTGCTCGACAGTAGATTCCTATTTTTATTAAAATTCTTCAAATGAGAATCCATGTCTTTGATCCACTTTCTAAATTGTATGTCGAGTCGTTGTGTCTATTTTTATCAATATGATAAAAAGTTGGTTTTGTTTATTAGTAGAATCCTATTTTTCTTAATGGCTTGTTCCATAATTGAGAGAAAAAGGACTCTACTGACGAGCAATTGCCAATTAGTAACATCATGAAAATTTTACTACTTTTTTAGAATAAAACTGTACTAGATTGCTCGACAGTAGAGTCCTATTAGCGTAAATTTCTTCCATGAGAGTCCATGTCTCTGATCCATATTTTAAAATAAATGTCACGTCTTATACTTATTTTACCAAATTGATAAAAATTCAGTTTGCTCGTCAGTAGAGTCCTATTTCTCGTAAAACCCTTAAAAAAATTTGAAAAAGTGTTTAGAGTCCATGCCTCAGATCCATCTTTCGCTTTTATCTATTTAATAGATTTGATAAAAGTTCAGTTTTCTCGTCAGTAGAGTCCATGTCTCTGATCCATATTTTAAAATAAATGTCAGGTGCCACACTTATTTTACCAAATTAATAAAAAATTAGTTTGCTCGTCAGTAGAGTCCTATTTTTGTAAAATTTTTCAAATAGTTCTCCGTCGACGATGAGAGTCCATGTCTCTGATCCACATTTTAAAATAAATATCAAGTATAATAAATATTTTACAAAAATGATAAAAATTCAGTTTGCTCGTCAGTAGAGTCCTATTTCTCGTAAAACCCTTAAAAAAATTTGAACAAGTGTTTAGAGTCCATGTCTCAGATCCATCTTTCGCTTTTATCTATTTAATAGATTTGATAAAAGTTCAGTTTTCTCGTCAGTAGAGTCCATGTCTCTGATCCATATTTTAAAAAAATATCAGGTGCCATATATATTTTACCAAATTAATAAAAATTTAGTTTGCTCGTCAGTAAAGTCCTATTTTTGTAAATTTCTTCAAATAGTTCTCGTCCACGATGAGAGTCCATGTCTCTGATCCATGTTTTAACACAAATTATATGTAAATGTCAAATGTATTGCATATTGATAAAAATTCAATTTTTTCGTCAGTAGAGTTCTATTTCTCGTGAAGATCTTCAAACAATTTGTGGTTAGAGTCCATGTCTCCGATCCATCTTTCACTAGTACATTTATTAACTTCCTGTAGGGTAGTTATAGTAATGGGCCAAAAATCGAAAATAATTTTTTTTGCATTTCCTGACGTTTTGAAGGTTTCTGAACATTTTCGTATACCTCAAAAAGATATTTAAAAAATTATCCAGGCTAAGCACAGTCTAAGCGCTACTCTGGTACAAATGTTTACCCAAGTGCGTTTTAGACTGTTTATGTACTGGAGCACTTTTCGAATTTGAATTTTGTGAAAACTATTGAAAAATTTGAAAATGCCGCCAAGGTAAGCACAGTATAAGTCAAAATGTCGCACAGAATTATTAACTTCCCGTAGGGTAAGTTATTGTAATGGGCCGAAAATCGGAATTGAAAATTTTTGCATTTCTCGACGTTTTGAAGGTTTCTGAACATTTTGGCATACTTCAGAAAAAATGGATGTGTGTGTGTGTGTGTATGTATGTATGGATACAAATTTTCGCCCACGTTTTCGGGCGTACGGATCAACCGATTTGAATGGTTCAAAAAACATTCGATTCCTATTGATAGGGAAAAGAGCTGATTAGATTTTGGCAAAGGCAGGTCCAGCCGTTTCGGAGATACGGAGCAATGAGTGCAGAAAATAGAAATCGAATTTTTGAGAGAACGGAGTATCCGATTTGAATGATGTAAAAAACATTCAATTAATAATGATTGGGAGAAGTGTTTATTAGTTTTTGGCAAAGGCAGGCCCAGCCATTTTGAACATACGGAGCTAAATATGTAAAAAACAGCAATTTTTGAGAGAACTAAGCGTCAGATTTAAATGATTCAAAGAACTTTCTGCTTGTCTTAACAAAATAATAGATTTTGGAAAAAAAAATTTGTTAATTTTTTTTTTTTTTTTTTTTTTTTAGTTTTTTAGTTTTTTAGTTTTGTGTATATCGAAAATATTTCAGATTTTCTTTTTTAATCTGACTATAGTTCTAATATACTTTACAAATAATTTCAACTCTGCAATTCAGTTTATATAATTCTTATAAATATTAGACAATGTTACAGTATTTATAATAATCTATTTGAAAACATTCAGTATTCGAACATTTTCTTACGGTACGGGAAGTTCCAGCAATTTGCCTTAAGGCACGATGCCATAATTGCCTCAAGACAGAATTCCACTTACAGCTAGTTTGCAAATGCGTTTAGACTGTGACTATTCGGGAGCAGTTTTTCAATTTTGTGTAAATTAGGCAACTATTTTTTTTTTTAAATTGAATTTAAAATGAAATGATTGTTAATGTTTCATTTGATTTGCTCAGATATAACAAGATAATGCAAAAATAATGAAAGTTACACTATTTGTAATAATATATTTGAAAATGTTTAAAATTTCTCGAATATTTCATTACGGTACGGGAAGTTCCAGCAATTTGCCTTAAGGCACGATGCCATACACACCGCTAGTCTGAATCACATTCGATAAAAATTCATTATCAAGGCAACGCTATATCATTATGAATCTCTACTGGATCATTCGTTCATCAACTTTTCTCCAATCCATCATCATATCATCTCCTACTTCTAGTGTCTTCCAAATGTTGCCGCCGCGGTCTCTTCATCGGCATCAGCCTGATGTTTTTCCAGCAGGCTTGCGGCCTATTCGCAGTCTTAACCTATGCCTCATCTATCATGCAACAGGCTGGTGTATCAGGTTGGACACCTGATCAGGCTGCTGTGATTTTGGGAGCCATCCAGGTCGTCGGGGGACTGGTGTCTTCTGTTTTCGTGGAACGCGCTGGACGAAAGGTAATGATAATGGAAATAAAAATAGAAATTCTTGATATGAGACAAATTTCATTGGCCTCTAATTTTTATTTCCTATGTATCTTTTGGTTGGTCGTGGCGAAGGTCGTTAACGCGTTGACTTTGTATGGACAGGGTCGCGCCTTCGATTTCCCGCTCTGACAATCTGACATAGAAAATATAGATTAAAATATGTTTCCAATTGAAAATAAGCCCATCTCGGGCACTGCGGTGTGAAATGGCAATGGGAAATCTCTCACACTATTCTTTTCTGACAACCATTATTATTTATTATTATGTATCTTTTATTATCCTATTTTCAGATTCTTCTTGCGATGTCCAGCGCCTTCCTAGGACTCTGTCTTGCTGCTTTAGGTACCCATGCAGGTTTAAGAGAGAACGGTTATGACGTCACGGGTTGGTCCTGGGTTCCTGTGACGTCACTGTGTGGTGCTGTTCTTTTTGGGGCCTTGGGAACCGGTCCTTTGCCTTTCGTGGTTGCCAGCGAGATATTCGATAACAGGGTAATAATTGAAAAAATAAATGCAACTCTTTTTTTTAAAAAAACAAATACGTTTCGTTATTGTTACGTAATTGTGTCATATGCAATTAATTATGGAACATAAATGTTTCGTTATTGTTACGTAATGTTTCATATGTTATTTTGTGACTTTGTCACATTTTCATTATGTTTTATGAAACATAAACGTAAACCAATAATGTTTCGTTATTGTCACGTAAATGTTTCATACGTTTCATATTTTGTGTCTTTGCAAATGATTTGCAAATTTGTGTTTGTTAGAAAAAAAACACGTAAAGTTATTATCAAATTGTTTCATAAACAGTTAATTATGTTTCGTTATTGTTACACTTATGTTTCATAAGTTAGTTTCTGCCTTTGCAAGCGATAAAATTTGCAATTTGGGCCTATTAAAAACACCAAGCAACGTTATTATTACGTAATTGTTCTATAAGCAATTAAATATAACAAATAAATGTAAAGCAATAATGTTTCGTTATTGTCACGTAAATGTTTCATACGTTTCATATTTTATGGCTTTACGGGCGATAGAATTTGCAAATTTTGTCTGTTAAAAAGAACCAAGTAACGTTATTATTTCGTAATTGTTCTATAAGCAACTAATTATGAAAAATATGTGTAAACCAATAATGTTTCGTTATTGTTACGCAAATGTTTCATAAGTTAGTTTGTGTCTTTGCAAGCGATAAAATTTGCAATTTGGGCCAATTAAAAAAAAAACAAGTAACGTTATTATTACATAATTGTTCCATAAGCAATTGTTTATGAAAAATAAATGTAAACCAATAATGTTTCGTTAATGTAACATTCATGTTTCATGAGTTAATTTGTATCTTTGCAAGCGATAGAATTTGTAAATTTTGTCTGTTAAAAAGAACCAAGTAACGTTATTATTACATAATCGTTATATAAGCAATTAATTATGGAACACGAATGTAATGCAGTAATGTTTCGTAATGCAGATGAAAGATTTGCAATTTTTGTCTTATAAAAAAAACAAGTAACGTTATTATTACGTAATTATTTCAAACTAATAAATTATAAAACATAAACGTAAAGCAGCAATGTTTCGTTAAAGTTACATAAATGTTTCATAAGTTAGTTTTGTGTCTTTGCCGGAGATAGAATTTAAAATAAATAAATAAGAGTCTGTTAAAAAGGACCAAATAACGTTATTATTACGTAATTGTTCTATAAGCAATTAAATATGAAAAATAAACGTAAAGCAATAAAGTTTCGTTATTGTTACGTACATGTTTCATGAGTTAGTTTGTATATTTGCAGGCGAAAGGAAAGGCTATGACGATTTGCAATTTGAGTTTGTGGATTTTTGCATTCATCGTTTTGAAGGTAACAAAAGAAAAGAATATATATATATATATATATATATATATATATATATATATACTAGCTAACCCGGTAACGAGTTGCTGTGGCTCAGTAATTTTAATACATCGAATCAATTTTTTACAATATGGTTGGTAGGAACTTTTTGAAAAGATTTTAGAATGTAGAATTTGATTTCTAATGAATCTGAACAATTAAATTTAAATTTATCAACTTATGGGGTGATTCTGCTTCATAACATAACATTGTCATGGCAATGCTACAGTTTTCACTGCCAAGAGATAAGCATAAGATAGCGTTGCCAAATTAGATGCTAAACCGCCATCTATTATGAATTTATAGAACTAAGCAATTAAAGTAATATAATAGATATTTATTCATTTAATAATAAATATTGAGATCAATAATTTAGATAAAAACAATTCCATTTTTTAACTTCTAAGAACCAAATTACGAAGAGTTACGAAATTTTATCAGAATCTGTTCAGTAATTTTAAAGTCTTCCGAATTTTGGATGTTTTTTCTATTTTTCTCAATTTTTCCTCTTTTTTTCAGTTTTACAGTTCTATGGTTTCACTGATGACAATGCCCGGAACATTCATGCTCTTTGCAGCCTTTATGGCCCTATCAACGATTTTCGCAGTTTTTTGCGTTCCCGAAACCAAGGGCCAACCCCTGGACGTGATTTTGGCCAAACTTGGGGCCAAAGCCCAGAATTCTGTGGTACTTCAAGAAAAACCGGGCGTAGAATTGGACGTGAAAAATGTATGAGGGGATAAGTCAATTTGCTCGTTAGTAGAGTCCTTATGATAAAAATTATAAGAAAAGATTTTTTTTTGGAACAAGTAACATTATGCAACATACCTTGCTATGTAACAAAAACGTAACTAAAACGTAATACTAAATGACATAAAAATTATCTATTAACATAAATAGATCTTTATGTAAAAAAATGATAATGTTAGGTGTAATTAGTTGTTATTAATTTACATAAAGTTTATGATATATAACGTGTACTATTATGAAACAATAATGTAACAGGGATGTAACAAACACGAAACAAAGCTGTTAAGTTAATTTTTATATTATTAAATATAATTAATAGTCACTCAATATCATGAATTTTATATATTTTATATATTTTCCTAACAAAATAATTGAATGATTTTATAAACTGAAATATGATAAATTTAGTTCTGTAACATATAAGACACAAAGTGTCTTCGATTAACATAAAAATTATATAACGTGAAAAGACGTTAGGATTTTAAAAAAATGTTATTGTCATCAATTATTATTAATTAATGTAAAATTTCTAATACAATGTGTACTGTTATGAAACAATAATGTAACAGTGACGTAACAAACACAAAACAAAGACTTTAAGTTCATTTTTACATTGTTAAATATAATAAATTGCCATTAGATTTATATTTTGAAGCAATTATATTTTATATATTTAGATAAAAATCATTTTATAAATTATGTATATGATTAATTTAGTTCTGTTACGTAACAAGAACGTAACATTGTAGTAACATTTAAGGCACAAAAGTGTCTTAGATTAACATAAAAGTTATTTAACGTGAAAAGCCGTTAGGTTTTAAAAAACATGTTATTGTTATTAATTTATATAAAATTTCTAATACAATGTGTACTGTTATGAAACAAGAATGTAACAGCGACGCAACAAACGCGAAACAAAGCCATTAAGTTAATTGTTACATTGTTATATTTATATTATTTTGACGCAATTATATTTTCTATGTTTGGATAATAATATTTTTTGTAAATTAAGTTTATGATGAACTTAGTTCTGTTACGTAACAAAAAGGTAACATTGTAGTAACATATAAAATACAAAGTGTCATAGTTGTTATTATTTTGATAACTTTATATAGATTTAGTGTTATTTAAAAGTTATTTGTATATATATTAATAAAAAAATTCAAAGGTAAAAATTGAGATATTTTACAAAAGTTAAAATACTATCTTATCCGTACAAATATTTTGTTAAATAATTATTTTTAAAAATTGCAAAAAATGCAAAATAATTATATTATTCATAACCAAAACAAGCGATAAAAACATTCCCGATAGGAAAAATAAAAAACAACAAATTATATTTTATTTTTGCAAACGTTTATAATAAATTTGCAATTTTGCAGTTTTTATCGATTGTTCACGACCTTGGATATATTTCCATATGCATTCATTTATATATTATATATATATATATATATATATATATATAATATTTAGCAAATTTGTATAAATTTAAAGGTTGTACCAAATTATTTAATATAATGAGTCTCTACAGCAAGTCGTTAAACTTTAAAATTGAAAGCATCAAACTCAAAAAGTGGTATATGGAACTCTATTGATTCTTAAGCTTTTCTAGTTCAATATTTAAATTCAGTCCTTCGAGACCTTTTAAATGATACCCCACACGACATAAGTGTGTCAAAACGTTTCGACCCTTTATTTGACCCATCGCACCGTATATAAAAATCATTGTAACTTTTAAACGGCTTGTTCAATTTAAATGCTCTGTTCAAGAAATTTGTGTAAAATTAGGTAACCAACAACTTTATTAAAATAAAATAGAAAATTGATGTCACATCTTTAAAAAAAATGTGTTGTACGGCACTCTTTTAATTTTTCAAGTCTGTAAATCTGATATTTGAATTGGGGTCGTCGAGATCTTTTAAATGATACCCCACACGATATATGTGACGTCAAAACGTTTCGACCCTTTATTTAACCCATCACACCATATATAGAAATCATGGTAACTTTTAAACGGCTTGTTCAATTTAAATGCTCTATTCGACAATTTTTTTTAAAATGAAGTAATCCACAACTTTATTACAACAAAATAGAAAATTGATGTCACATATTAAAAAAAATGTATAGGGTCACATATTTAAAAAAATTAATAGGGTTGTACGGAAGACTATTAATTTCTCAAGTCCGTCAATTTGATATTGGAATTGGGGTCGTCGAGTCCTTTCAAATGATACCCCACACGATATATGTGACGTCACAAATTCTTGACCCTAATTTGACCCACCGTACTGTATATAGTTCAGAGACTCATTTATCGTGCATTTATTTATTAGAGGTCTTGTAACTTCTAAAGGGCTTGTCTAATTTAAATGCAGGTTTTGGCAAATTTGTGCAAAATTAAATAATCTACGATATTGTCTAACATCATTGGGCCCTAGAGCAACTTGGTGTACTTTAAAATCGTGACTGAATATTGATAATGAATACATATAACTTTCTATAAAAAAATTTCTTAGGGTTATAATAGCGGCCCTGACGTTTTTGACAGTTGAATGTATATTTATTAAAGTATTTAAGTATTTAATATTGTATCGAATTCGTCTCTGTAAAGCCACTTGGACATTAATCAAAGTGCGCAAAACCCCACAGTTTTAGCCACAACATAATAAATAATGAATCCAGAGTTGTAATTTCGGAAAAGAATATTTAAAACTTTCAAATTTGTATTTTTACAAAATATTTAACCACCTTTATATTAAAATCAGCTCTATAAATTTTCTGTGCATAATATTTATTTATTGTTTTACTAAATTTGCCTCTATAAGACCCTATCATACTTTTATAATAAATTTAAAATTAGTCAAATAGTTGTGGGTCAATGTTCTACAATTTTATTCACAACTTGGAAAATAAAAGTCCTAGGATTCAAAATCCGGTCCTGGGCATTTAAACCTTTAACTTACAAATATTTCCCAATAAAATGTATATATATGGTTTTTTGAAATTGGCCATTGTAAAACCCTATCATTTTTTTATAATAAATTTAGAATTAGTCAAATAAATGTGGGTCAATATTCCACAATTTTGGTCACAATTTGGAAAATAAATGTCCTAGGGTTCTAAATCCGGCCCTGAACATTAATAACGCTCAAACCTTTAATTTACAAACATTTCCCACTAAAAGTTTTCATATAACTTCTCCAAATTTGCCATTTTAAAACCCTATCATTTTTTGTATAATAATTTTAAAATTAGTCACATAGTTCTGAGTCAATGTTCTACAATTTTGGTCAAAACTTGGAAAATAAATGTCTTAGGGTTCTAAATCCTATCCTGGACATTCATAACACTTCAACCTTTTATTTACAAACACTTTCCATAAAAATTATATATAAATTCTTCAAATTAGCATCTGTAAAACCCTACCAAATGTTCTATAATAAATTTGAAATTAGTCAAATATTTCTGGGTCCATGTTTCACAATTTTGGTCACAACTTGGAAAATAAATGTCATAGGATTCTTAATCCGGTCCTGGACATTCATAACACTTCAACCTTCAATTTAAAAACATTTTTCCATAAAATTTATATATATAAATTCTCAAAATTTGCCTCAGATAAACCTTTATAACAAAAGTAAATTTAGTCAAAACGTGCCGGGTCATGTTTAAGAATTTTAATCATAACTTGGAAATTATTGAAATTAGGATTCTAACTCCAGCCCTGGACATTTATTACACTGCAACCTTTAACTTACAAACATTTCCCAATAAAATTTATATTTAATTTTTTGAAATTGGCCCTTGTAAAGCCCTATCAAATCTTTTATATTAAATTTTAAAAATTAGTCAAATAAATGTGGGTCAATTTCCAGAAAAATGTATATATATATATATATATATATATATATATATATATATAAATTTTCAGAATTTGCCTCAGTAAAACCTTGGCACCAAATGTGAATTTAGTCAAAACGTGATGGGTCATGTTCAACAATTTTGGTCATAACTTGGAAAATAAAAATTCTAGGATTCTAAATTCGGCCCTGGACATTCATAATACTTAAACCTTTAATGTACAAGCATTTTCCTATAAAATTTATATATAAATTCTCAAAATTCGCTTTAGTGAAATCTTGATAACAAATGTAAATTTAGTCAAAACGTACCGGGTCATGTTCCACAATTTTGGTCATAACTTGGAAAATAAATGGCCTAAGGTTTTAAGTCCGGTTCTGGACATTCATATCAGTCAAACCTTTGATTTACAAACATTTCCCAATAAAATTTATATATAATTTCTTCAAATTCGCCATAGTAACACCTTATTTTTTTATAATAAATTCAAAATTAGTCAAATAGTTCTGGGTTAGTGTTTTACAATTTTGGTCACAACTTGATAATTATCGAAATTACGATTCTAACTCCAGCCCTGGACATTTATTACACTTAAATCAATAATTTAAAAACATTTTCCCTAAATTTTTTTTATATAACTTCTCCAAATTCGCCATTGTAAAACCCTATCTTTTTTATAATAAATTCAAAATTAGGCAAATAGTTGTGGGTCAATATTCCACAATTATGATCATAACTTGGAAAATAAAAGTCCTAGGATTCTAAATCCGGTCCTGCACATTCATAACACTTGAACCTCTAATTTACAAACATTTGCTAATAAAATTTATATATAATTTCCTAAAATGCGCCATAGTAAAACCCTATCAATTGTTTTTATAATAAATTTAAAATGAGATAAAACGCGTTGGGGTCAATGTTCTACAATTTTGATCACAACTTGGAAAATAAAAGACCTAACGTTCCAATTTCGGCTCTGGACAATTATAATACTCAAAACATCATTTTACAAGCGTAAAAATTATACATAATTATATCAAAATCCTGAAAACTCCGCCAAGTAATTCTTTATATCAACTTCAAAAATTGCCAAAGTCCACCGGGTCCATCTTGCACAATTTCACTCACAACTTAAAAAATAAAAAACCCAGCATCACAATTCCTGCCCTGGATATCCACAACACACAAACCAATAGATAACATACAATTTCACAACAAAACATTTATTATTTAACCAAATTCGGCCCTGTAAAAATCCCTCCAACAAAAAATCAAATTCAAACAACGCGCCTTCTTCCGCCGCAGTCTAACAAACGACACACGCGTGTGCGGACGTACATCTTTTCTAATCTAAACGTCAATAAAACAAAACGTCAAAATTTAAACAAAATCAAAAGTCAAAATTATTAATGATCTCTTAAGTACAAATTAATAACACAAACAAAAACACCAATTAAATTGAAATGTCTTTTACAACGAACGCCCAAGCTTACTCCAAAGAACAGGATGAAGTAATTATCAACAATAATAATAATAATAAATCACAAAATTTATTTTTTATGTATCTATTATATTTCTAGAAATTGTTGCAACCGTTTGTATATATACAACAAGTTCCTGGTAAACAAATTCGTGCAAAATTAGCCCTTGCCTTTAATTACTGGATGAAGATTCCGAATGACAAACTGTCAGCCGTCGGCGATATTGTGCAAATGCTACATAATTCTAGTCTTTTGTAAGTAATAATTGATAATTTGGATTTAAATTTGTTGTTTGTAGGTATATACATACTTATTTGTATGTATATAGGTATATTTATACGTGTAAACGCTAATATGTTGCACCAAGAGAGGTGACATAACCTCACTTTAGGATAATAGAAATATAGTAAATAATATACTTTTATGTAATATATATATATATATATATAATATATATACACATAAATAATGCAATTTTTGAATATATCTGTATATATATACATAATTATTAATTTGTTAAACTAAACATGTCGACATAACCTCAATTTTGCACCAATTGTTAAATTTGTTAAATTTTTCTGAACAAAGTTTTGTTAATGCTCAAAAAAGTTGTAATTATATATATTGTTATGTTTAGATTATATATATCACAAAATTTATAATCTATTATACAATTATTAATAATTATGCTATATATATATATATTGGGGTGTTCTATCGATCGATTACAAGCTTGATTAAATATAACTTCATTGGTTTTTGTGTAAGCTCTTATAATAATTATAGTATATATATATATATATATATATATATATATATACAATTTGTAGTATATATATATATTTATATCCAAGGATTACTCCGTTACCAAAAAGAAGTGACCTAATGTCGAAATTATTAGCTAAATTTGTTTATTCCTATACAAAACCTGTTGTTAATACTTAGAAAAGTTTAAATTTAATATATTAATATGGTAGAAATTGATAGAGTTCAAAATAATTGTTTTATTATGCAATAATTAATAATTATGATGTACCTCGAAAGGTATCTTATTGATCATCTGTGTCATAATTAAAAACATTTTTATTTGTTCTTTTGTAAGCTTAATAATTATCATAGTATATATATATATATATATAATTATATTATTTATTCTCCTGTGTCTCGTGTCCCTTTGTCCACTAACAATGTTTTTTATCAGAATCGATGACATTCAGGATAATTCTATACTTCGCAGAGGAATCCCAGTTGCCCATTCGATTTACGGGGTTGCAAGTACAATAAATGCAGCCAATTATGTGCTATTTCTTGCACTCGAGAAAGTTATTAATTTGGGACATCCAGAAGTGAGTAGATTAATTAGATTTATGAGAAAAAACTAACAAATAAAAAATAAAATAACTAATATGTACATAAGTATATAAAATCTGTTTCCCACAAAATGATTTGCATGTCTATAAAAACAGTTTGCAACAGATGTTGCACAGAAATGTTTTATGTTTACATCACTTTTGCTATTTTTAGCTTCAAAGTTTACATTTGTGTAAGTCAGAGTTAAAGAATGAAAATAAACCGATGGACAAATATTATATTTCAAATAATGCTCTCAGAATTGAGCAACAAAATAAATAAACTGGGTTTAAGTGGCATTAAGCCTTAATGCAACCTGCATGACTAAAAAATTCATTGATCCATTGAAATTTAGATATTTTTAAAACTTTGCCTTTTTTGGCATATCTTAGAAAAAATGTATGTGTTTATGTAAGTATGTATGGATACTATTTTTCGTCCACGTTTTCGGGCGCACGGATCAACCGATTTGAATGATTCATTTACCTTTTGATTCCTATTGATAGGGAGATGTACTGATTAGTTTTTGGCAAAGGCAGGTCCAGCCGTTACGGAGATACGGAGCAAAGAGTGCAGAAAATAGAAATCGAGTTTTTGAGAGTACGGAGCATCCGATTTGAATGATTCAAAATACATTTTATTTGTATTGACGAAATGCAGGATTGATTAAATTTTTGCAAAGTCATGTCCAGCGGTTTCGGTGAAAAATGTTCAAAAAAATCCC